TTTTTAGTATTAAAAGTAGTAATTTACGCTTCTTATACAAGAATCTCCAAATTTATAGATATGTTAGCTTTTTGAATGAAGCTCCCTTTTTCCCATATTCCACACTCTAAGAGTCACCACTGGTAAGAGTTTCATAAATACCTTGATAGATCCTTGACACCATTTTACATTAAAGAAATAAAGAGGAAGCCCTAACCGGTTTGGCTCAGTGGATAGAGCGTCAGCCTTCGGACTGAAGGGTCCCAGGTTCGATTCCGGTCAAGGGCATGTACCTTGGTTGCGGGCACATCCTCAGTAGGGGGTGTGCAGGAGGCAGTTGATCGATGTTTCTTTCTCATCGATGTTTCTCTCTATCCCTCTCCCTTCCTCTATGTAAAATCAATAAAAATTTTTTTAAAAAAAAGAAATAAAGAGAAAGAGAGATCATCCTGTTCAGTGCCTCGTGTTTTCTTCACCTAAGTCACTGTGTTCACTGTTCATATCATACCTGCCCTTCTCCTTGCTCTTTTAATCTCTTCATGGTCCCTAATCCACCCTATACTTTCCCACCTGGACCAGACACACAGCTGTGAGTAGTCACAACATAGCCATTCTTCGTTCGCTATTTATGACAAAGAACCAGAAATAAACACAATTGTTCACTGAACATTCTTACATGTACATTTCTGTTTTTCTGTGAATTCCTTTCCTGTCAAGCACCTTGTGGAATGTGGAATTTTATAGAAGGTATTCAGGGAGCAATGGAGGGGTCTTCACAAGACATTCTTGTCATAATAACACATGATTGGGCTAAGCTAATCAAGATAATCTGAGAAAATATTCAAGATTTTACTGCCTACTTTATCTTATATAGCTTTGATTGTATTGAGTCTTACATTTAAGTCTTTAATCCATTTAGTGTTCATACTTGTGTATGGTGTAAGGACATAGATTTGATGTTTTGCACAAATCTGTCCAATTTTCCAAACACCACTTATTGAATAGACTGTCTTTATTGCCTTGTATGTTTTGCCTCCCTTGTAAAATATTGACCTAAAAAGTGGGGATTGATTTCTGGGTTTTCTATTCTGTTCCAATGATCTATGTATGAGCTGATGCCAGTTCCATGCTGATTTTATTACTAACACCTTGTAGTATAGTTTGATATCATGTTGTGTGGTTCTGACAACTTTGCTCTTCTTTCTCAAGATTGCTGGAGCTATTCGGGGTTATAATAAAACTGTGACTGGGAAGATCATTCCAATTGTCAAATCAGATGCCATTCTCATGTCTTCCAGCATTCAATATTCACATTCCAAAAGAGAGATTTCAGCATGAAATTGTAAGTTGTGAGGTCTCTTTTTCATTCAAAATATAATCCAAAATTTTCAACACTATCTGATGTTTCCCCCTATTACATAAATTCCAAACAAACCATCTGTAAGGATGATTTAGGATGGGGAGAATAGGAAGATAGTATAGTCATAACACCTCAAAAGAGAATGACTGTGATATCTATGTAGCTGGGAATGAAAAGAAATAAAGGAATTGGAGATAGGAAGGAAATGAAAAAAAGTATCATTTATGTTACTAATTTCAGAGTCAGTATTGCATCCTGGAAAAAGATATCCTCTCTCTCCACATGCTGAATTCATTTCAGTTTTTCATCCTGGATCTTTTCCATCTGCTATTTAATACTACATCACTCCTATTGCAATGTTTTCCTTCTAATAATGGAGTATCTCTTACACAACTTGAATGTGCTATGTTTCTTCACTTCATATTATTGTAAAAAGACCATAACTTATGACATCACCAAGTTGTGACCTGAATAAATTGGCAAACACTGAATGTCTTTGGTGACATCAATAATAAACAAGGAAAATAGTAACTAAAGGAATACTTAGTTTTTATCTAATAAATAGATGGTATGAAGTGTACCACATGAACTACAACTTCATATGCTCATTGTGACATTACTTCCATTTTCAAGATATTTCTGTACAATAATGATTTCAATGGAAGCCATTCCTCTGACCACAACATATAAGGAACATTTCATGAGCTAGCCTATCTAATAAGAGTAATATGCAAATTAAACCCCACTCCATCACTCCACAACAAAGATGGCGACGCCCATAGGGGCCGGGGCAGGACGCTGGTGACGTCACCCCGGCAATGTGAGCCCAGCAGGCAAGTGTGCCCGCAGGCAGCACCCAGCAGGGCCCACTTGGCCACCGCCACGGCAACCCGCGAGCAGGCAGACAGCACCCAGCAGGGCCTGCTTGGCTGTCGCCGTGGTGTGGAGGAGGCAGGCCCCTCAGAGAGCAGAGAACCACAGGGAGCGGGCCCAAGCCGTCAGTAGGACCTCCCCTGAGGGCTCCCGGATTGGAGAGGGTGCAGGTCA